TCTTCCCCTTGCGGCGCAAGGCGGTTGTCAGCGGTGTTTTGATCCCCTGGATCCGTGCTACTCGTCTCCAGCTGCACGAGCGTTTTCAGCAGGACTTCCCAGTCCTGCGTCTGCACTCTGACAGGGGTGGTGAGTTCTCCTCTGGCGTCCTTGAGACGTTCTGTCAGGACGAGGGCATCGCCCAGTCGTTCACGCTTCCGGCCTCTCCACAGCAAAATGGGATCGCTGAGCGTCGCATTGGCCTGATCATGGAGGTTGCTCGTACCTCCATGATCCATGCGGCTGCTCCCCATTTCCTGTGGCCGTTTGCGGTCCGATACGCCGCGCATCAGCTCAACCTCTGGCCCCGTGTCTCTGCTCCAGAGACCTCGCCCACACTCTGTTGGACGGGACAGCCTGGTGATGCGTCGTCGTTTCGGGTCTGGGGCGCGCTCTCCCTTGTTCGCGATACCAAAGCGAGCAAGCTCTCTCCTCGCACTCTCCGCTGTGTCTTCCTGGGCTTCCCCACCGACGCCCCGCCCTGGCAGTTCTACCACCCTGCCTCGCATCGTGTTCTGTCCTCTCAGGACGTCACCTTCGACGAGTTGGTCTATTACTACCGACTTCACCCACACGCGTCCCACCCGGTCCCCCTCGCGCCTCTCTTCCTGGTACCAGTCCCCCCCCCGGTAGACCCCCTTCCCCCACAGGGTCCTGCTCCCTCAGGTGTGTCTCAGGTAGACCCACCCCCCTTGGATGAGCCAGTGGAGATCTCTTCTGACTCCTCTGACCCAGCTGCGGGGGGTGACACCGCCGCCGACGACACGGCGACCACTCGCCGCACTCCTCGCTTGGAGACCCCCCCGGGTTTCCCGCCTCGGCCGTCTTCGCCACCTCCGCAGCCTGCTGCTGTGGACTCTGGAGCTGAGACTGCTGGAGCTGGGCCTGGGGCTGGTACGTCTGGGGGTGTCCGCTCTCCTCGTTTGGCTACCCCCCCCGGTTTCCCGCCTCTGCAGCCTTCTGCAGTGGACACTGGAGCTGAGACTGAGGGTGCAGGGACTGAGAGTACTGAGCCTGCGGGTGCTGGGACTGAGGGTAGTGAGACTTTGGGTGCTGACTCAGGGGGTGCTGAGACTTCGGGTGCTGACTCTGGGGGTGCTGCGAGTCCTTCTCGAGGTCCTGGAGCTGGAGGTACTAGAGCTACTAGGCCTGGAGGTACTACTAGAGGTACTCGAGGTACTACTGGTGCTGGAGGTACTGGAGCTGCTGCTGGTGCTGGAGGTGCTAGAGCTAGCACTACTCGAGGTACTGGAGCTGGACAGCCACCGCAGCCTGCTCTACTTGAGACGCTCTCGCCGCAGGCGATTCGTTCGTGGGTCGTTCGGCGAGGCAGTCCTGGTGGTGGAGGGTACGGTCCTGCTGGTACTGGAGCTACTAGTCCAGGAGGTGCTGGAGGTGCTGGAGGCACTACTGGAGGTACTAGAGGTGCTACGAGTGCTGGAGGTACTGGAGCTGCTAAGCCTGGAGGTGCTGGAGGTGCTGCTCGTGCTGGGGGTACTGGAGCTGCTGCTGGTGCTGGAGGTACTGAAGCTGCTATTACTGGAGGTACTGCCGGTGCTGGAGGTACTGGAGCTGCTAGTGCTGGAGGTACTACTGTTACTGGAGGTGCTGGGGGTGCTGGAGCTGCTGGCACTGGAGGTGCTGGTGCTACTGGTGCTGGAGCTGCGGGAGCTGCTGACCCTGGAGGTGCTGGTGCTGCTGGTGCTGGAGGCGTTGGAGCTGGAGGTGCTGGAGGTGCTGGAGCTACTGGTCCCGGACGTGCTCGTACTGGAGGTGCTGGAGCTGCCGGAGCAGGTGGTGCTGCTGGTGCTGGAGGTACTGGAGGTGCTACTAGAGCTGCTGGCACGGGAGGTACTGGAGGTACTACTGGTGCTGGAGGCGCTGGAGATGGAGCTGGAGGCACTGGAGGTGCTGGAGGTACTACTGGTGCTGGAGGTGTTGCTGGGGGTACTGGAGGAGCTGCTCGTGCTGGAGGTACGGGAGCTGCTGGTGCTCTTCGCCACCTTCTTAGTCTTCCGCCCGGTGCTACTGACTTCCCTGTGGCAGGTACTACTCCTCCGTTGCTGTTTCCACCGGCGGACCAGTCACAGCCGCCGCTGCTACCGCACTCCCCACAGCCTGCTCCTGCTCCTTACACTGCGGTGACACATTCCCTGACTGAGCGTCGAGAGCCTGAGACTCGTGCTTCCACCCCTGAGCGTCGAGAGCCTGAGTCTAGCTTTGACCTTGAGCCTGAGCCTGGAGCTGCTGTCCGTGCTCGTGTTCCTCGTGTTCGTCGTCCGCGTGCTCCGGCTGTCCCCGGCACTAACGATACGACACTCCGTCCTTCCTCTGTTCCACAGCGTGTTGTCCTACCGTTACCTCCAGCGTCCTCTCTTCCTGACGTTGCTGACCCTCCGTCTGACCTTGCTCGTGCGTCCAGTCCGACTGTTACTCGCTTCCTTGCTACGGTTGTGACAGACCCTACGTTCTCGTCTCTTGCTGCAACTGCCTTAGTCGCTGAGCTCGTTGACTTTGCTGCTGTGTACCGCCTAGACTACCTTGCGAGTCTTGTCTCTGACCCTGACCATGCCTGTCCTCCGTCCGTCGGGGGTGAGACTGCCCTTGGCTGTACTGCCCTTGGCTGTGACGTTCTTGAGGACAGACAGGAGGAGCTGGAGTGCCTTGCGGCCGCTTCACCCCATCACGCGACCATGCTGCTTGCTCCTGAGGGAGACCCGGATGCACTTGACATCCCCACCCCGCGCTCCTACAGGGAGGCGATTTCGGGTGAGTACTCCTCTCAGTGGCAGACAGCCATGGACGCAGAGATGGCTTCCTGGAAGTCCACAGGCACCTACGTCGACGAGGTTCCCCCACCTGGGGCGAACATCGTCAGTGGCATGTGGATTTTCAGGGTGAAGCGGCCGCCGGGTTCTCCGCCTGCCTTCAAGGCACGTTACGTTGCTCGAGGCTTCAGTCAGCGTGAGGGGGTCGACTTCTTCCAGACCTTCTCCCCCACCCCGAAGATGACCAGTCTTCGGGTGTTGCTATACGTTGCAGCTCAGCGTGACTACGAGCTGCACTCCCTCGACTTCTCCACAGCTTTCTTACAGGGTAGCCTTCACGAGGCCATCTGGTTGCGCCGTCCACAGGGCTTCACTGGGTCGTTTCCTGAGGGTACCAAGTGGAGCCTACGGTGACCAGTGTACGGCCTGCGTCAGGCGCCCCGCGAGTGGCACGACACACTGAGGACGACACTTGCTGCTCTTGGGTTTGCTCCTTCGACTGCTGACCCGTCGCTGTTTCTACGCACCGACACTACTCTGCCGCCGTTCTACATCCTCGTGTACGTCGACGACTTGGTTTTTGCTACTGCTGACACTGAGGCACTGGCCCTAGTGAAGGCGGAGCTGCAGGAGAGACACACCTGCACTGACCTGGGTGAGCTGCGGAGCTATCTTGGCTTGCAGATCACCCGGGACAGAGCACGGCGCACCATCACCCTGACTCAGTCACACATGGTGCATCAGGTCCTTCAGCGCTTCCGCTTCACGTACTCCTCGCCGCAGCCCACTCCTCTGGCTACCGGCCACTCGCTCTCAGCTCCACCTTCGGACGAGTCCGTAGAGCCGAGTGGTCCGTACCCAGAGCTTGTGGGTTGCCTCATGTACCTGATGACGTGCACACGACCTGACCTCGCGTACCCTCTCAGCCTCTTGGCTCGCTACGTGGCACCTGGTCGACACCGAAAGGTGCACTTTGATGTTACGAAGAGGGTACTGCGTTACTTGTGCAGCACATCGGGCATGGGGCTCGTGCTTGGAGGACGGGGTTCAGTGGTCCTCACATGACACTCTGACGCTTCTTGGGCCGACGACCAGGCGACTCAGCGTTCGTCACAGGGTTACACCTTCAGTCTTGGCACTGGTTCTGTCTCGTGGAGGTCCACTCGTTCTTCTTCTGTGCTTGGTTCCAGCTGTGAGGCCGAGATCTACGCTGGGGCCATGGCTGCACAGGAGCTCCGCTGGCTGACCTACCTGCTGACCGACTTGGGGGAGCGGCCTCGTTCTCCTCCAGTTCTGTACGTCGACAACAAGGCAATGCTTGCCTTGTGTCACGAGCAGAGACTGGAGCACCGAACGAAGCACATTGCTCTTCGCTACTTCCTTGCGCGTGAGCTGCAGCAGCGTGGTCAGCTGCGCCTTGCTTTCGTGGCCTCTCGGGCCAACACTGCTGATGTCTTCACCAAGGCCCTTGGGGCTGGTGATCATCAGCGTTTCTGCAGTGCTCTTGGGCTTGTGCCCACTCTGCCTCACCTGCTGGTTGCTTGACTTGCTCTTGTTGTACACTGATATATATATCTTTATACCTGCTTGTTTACTCTTGCTATGTTGTGATCAGTGTACTGCCTTGCAATTATAACTCTGCATGTGAACTGGCCTTGTGGCCGCTTGCTTGTGCTCAGATTGTGTGGTGTCCTTGAGATCCACCCTGAGCTTTGCTTTGCTTTGCTTGTTCTCTTGCTTGACTGGTCTTGTGACCGTCTGTTGTGTTTGCTATCTCCCACTTAGCCTATGGGGGTGTGTCAAACTATATGTTTGTGTTGTCTCTAGGCTATAGTGGGTTAGCCTACAAGGGGTACAACACTTTAGGGTTAGGTACTTGTACTCATGCATGCTACCTAGTCCATCATTCCTGTCTGCTTATTCTAACATTGTACTCTATAGGATGCTCCTCTGTCTAGCCTATAAGTAACATAGATGACACAAATTTACATGTGTACATTGACACATTCCCAAACTAAGGGATTAGTTACACTTCCAACAGTCTGACACTCAAAGTAGTACCGGTAATGTACACCTTGGAAACTCACTGACACACAATAAATTACAATATGCATATGATTCACTAACTTACCATAATGAATACAATATGAATGTAAATTTTATACCCCACCAATGTATTGTAGTGGGTCACCACTACTTTCTCCTCATAGCCTTGAGTGGCTGAACCGCAATCACGGATCTCACAGAGGGCCCCAAATCATCAACCCATGTAATGCTGCCAAACACGAACCGAGCAGATGACCGTGTTACAGTCAGCGTTACACTGTAACCGACGGATTGATCCTTCGCAATGGTGAATGACAACGGTGTCACGGTAACCTTCACACCCGACGGCGGGACAACCTGAGCAGTGTATGTCGACTCCACGTCTGCAACATTCGTGACCGTACGGAACACCATCACGCTCACCAGAAGCCGAGACACAGAGATGGACGGGCGGTTGAGATTGTATGCGGGGATCGCATTGAACGTGGACTCCTTAAACAATTTCAACGCAGCTGTTCCATTTTGCCCAGCCAGAAAATTGAGGAGGTCCTGAGCGCCCATGTCGTAGGTCAAGCCGGGATCCAGCAGGCCGGGCGGATTTATCTGCCCGGCGCCCATCTCCCAAGGCGTTGCTTGCACGCCATTCTCAAGAACAATGGGTTTGCCGAGGTCGCTGGTGGTGGCGGCGCTGGTCATCATGGCCGACATCACCTGCGCCGGACTCCACGTCGGGTTGCGCTGCACCACCAGCGCCGCCACGCCCGCCGCGTGCGGCGTCGCCATCGACGTTCCCGAAGCTAGCCCGAAGCTCACCACCCCTGGGTCGTCAATGCTCCCGACGCTGGCGGCCCAGAGGCTCAACCCGGGTGCGACGATGTCCGGTTTGAGGATGTCGTTGGTGGGGAGTGCGTGCGCGGGGGTTATGGAGGGGACTTGCACGGGGCCCGAAGAGGAGAAGGAGGCGATGACAGGGGCTCCAGGAAGAGTGGCGATGGTGAAGGTTTCTGGGAGCTTTGCAGTGGGGCTGGCAGGGGGGAGGGATGGGTTGAGGGGAGAGGGAGAAGCAGAGAGGGATATTGAGCAGCTGTTGAGGGAGGCACTAGCTGAGGTTGAGGAGGGTCGGGGGAGGTGAGGGGGTGGAGGGAGTGAAGGGAAAGGAGCAGGAATGTGTGCAAAATATACAGCGAGGCAGGCAGACAGATGGAGCAATGGAGGCGGAAGGAGACAAGGGAGGTGGGGATGCAGCGAGCGCAGAGCCTGCAGCGGGAATGAAAGTGGACAGTGCTCATCGTCGCCGCCACGTCCCGACTTACTTCTTGAGTCCCTTCAGGGCTCTGCGCAGCTTGGCGCCATCAGCAGCAGTGAGGTGCACCACGGGGATGGGCGAGTCGTAGTTGTCACGCACGTACGGCTCGCCCTGCTCGTCGTTCACCAGCACCATGGCCACTCCGCCTGCACCCACCACTTCTTTGACCTTCTCGTGCACCCACGACTTGCCGTTGATGCAGATCACCATCTTGCCCGCTACCTTGCTCGCGTCCAACGACTTCGGGTAGCAGTAGTCGCCCTGGCAAAGGAGGAGGAAAAGGGAGGGAGCGGAGTGCAGGACGGGTGGACAAGGATAGGGGGGGACGGTGAGGGGGGGTTGGGAAAGGAGGGAGCGCATGGAAGGGGAGGCGGGGACTGGTGGGGACGCTGGGAAGAGGGGGAGCGGACAGAATCGAGTGAACGCGAGAATGCGGGGTACCTTGAGAATAACATAGCACACACGAGAGCAAGGCAAGCGTACCTCGATGTTGTCATGGTTTTGCAGCAGCCCCTTGCGCCCCAGGATGATGGGTGCGCCGTCCGCCGTGTCCTTGTTGCCGCCCATGCCCGCCCCCAACACTGTGAAGCCGTTGCTGAGGGTGAGCGCCGTGGTGTAGCGCCGCCCTATGGAGCTGCCGTGGGGGCAGGCGGGGATGCGGGGATGCGGGGATGGGGGGATGCGGGGATGGGGGGAATGCGGAGAGGGGAATAAGCGGAGGGCAAGCGCATGCGGGAAAGGAGGGAGTGGGTGGGGAAGGGATGAGCTACGACGGAAGTGAGAGGGGACGGACGGGAACGCAGGAGAGGGGAAATGGCGAGGGAGAGAGGATGGCGAAGGCGATCCGGGCACGCGATGAAGCAAGAACCGTGGAGGGGTGGGGGCCGAAATTTGACGATCTAACAATAACCGTGCTCTGTGTCCATCCTACCACCACCGCATGCACGCACCCCGCAGCGCACCCACCCGCAGCGCACGCACCCCGCATGGCACGCACCCCGCATGGCACGCACCTAGCGCCCACGGTGAGGTAGTAGGGCGAGAAGTTGCTGAGCGTGCGGTAGCTCCACGCGCTGGGCGGCCGGCCCGCATTGCCCGCCGCCACCACGATCACCACGCCCGCCTGGGGGGTTGGATCACGCCGAGAGGGGGATCGGATAAGAGATGGAGGTGGGGTGAGAGAAATAGCGACGTGTGATTGGAAGAGGTTGTGCGGGGAAGCGGGGTTGGTTGGGTGGCGAGAAGCAAGGCGTGGAGGCGGGACATGGAGCGAAATGTATTCGGGAGCGATGAGCCCGAAACAATGGGCGGTTGGTCTAAGAGACGAGCACCGAGAAGAACCGCGCTGCACCTTGATCGCGTTCAGGTAGTCCACGTCGTCGAAGTAATCGCTGTTCTCGTAGATCCCCGCGAGCGAGATGGAGATCACATCCACGCCGTCCAACACCGCCTGCTCCACCGCCGCCTGCACGTCCGCCAGCGCCGCCACCTCCTCGCCGCCCGTCAGCCGCCACAGCACCTTGTACACGGCGAGGCGCGCGCGCGGCGCCATGCCGCTCGCGAAGCCCAGGCTCTGCCCGTTGGACGCGGTCACCTGCACGCCGCCGTTGCCGGCCGCCGCTCTGGTGTGCGGGAGAGGGGGGTTGGAGGCAGGAAGGTGGAGAGGAGTAAGGCGAGAGAAGTTCCATGAGAGGAGGCCAGATCCAAGCAGGGGAGGGGGGCTCCCTCATAAAAGGGACCCGCGCTCACCGTCCCTTCTCAACAGCTCCGCACCCACCCTTCCGCGCGCGCCACCCCTGCACATATATCACCCGCCCGTCTCTTCCTCTCCCCCCTCTCCCGTCCGCTCCCCTCCACTCTCCCCTCTCTGCGCGCGCCTTACCCGGCGCACCAGGAGCCGTGCCCCTTGGAGTCGCGCGGGGACATGAAGTCCGTCGTCTGGTCGACCTCCCCGCCGCTCCCCGCCACAGCGTCCCAGAACGTCTGCGCGCCCACGATCTTTCCCCCGCACGCCTTCGCCGCCTCGAAGTCCCCCGTGTCCTCGCACTTCCCAGCCCACTTTGGCGGCGGGGCGCCGAACGTCTTAGAAGGCTGGGAACGGCGGAAGCGGATGGGGAGGAGAGGGAAGGGGGAAACGAGAGGAGACGGGAAGCGCGGACAGTTTAAGGGAAGAAATTGCGCAACAGGCTGCGGAAGGTGTCTGGAACCGGGAATATTGCGAGGGGAAAGGACCACGTCAAGCCGGCCAGACGCGTGTCGGTCACAAAACAGCCGCCGCCTACTCACATTGTTGAACGACGGGTGCTCGGGCCAAATGCCGCTGTCGATCAAGCCGATCACCACGCCCTCCCCCGCGCCCTCCCCCTGCGCGCCCCCCGACGCGTTCCAGAGCGAGGAGGGGAGTTTGAGGAAGGCGGGCGAGTGCGTGGTGGCGGGGTAGAGCCACACGCTCGCGCGCACTCGCGCCACGGCAGGGTGGCGCTGCAGCCGCCGCACCTGCGCGGGGGAAAGCCGCGCCGCGAAACCGTGGCGTAGATACTGATAGCTGAGACAGGGGCGGGAGAGGAGGGGCAGGCGGGGATGGATTGGGAGGAAAGGGGAAGCGGATGGGGGAATAAGGGGTGGGGCAGGAAGAGGGGGGAGAGGGGGGAGGGGGGGGGGGGGGGGGGGGGGGGGGGGGGAGGGAGGAAGACGAAGGAGAGACAAATACGACAACCAAGTAAGCTGATACAAATGGGGCATCGCCGATTGATGAGTACGGCTGAGACGGTGGAAGACGACGGCTGTGCAGCCACGGGTGACTGTTAGCACGTGCAGTACCGCGCACGCATTGGTACCTGTGCAGGATGTTCTTTTGCGGAACCCCCACAGTTTCCGCAATGTAGCGCTGCTGCTTTCGCAGATACACTTCAAGCTGCTTCGCCGCGCGCGTCCGAAGCTGCGGGCGCGGGCGCAGGTGGTGACGGCGGAAGAAGTTGCGCATGCCGTTGAGCGCTGTCTTGGCCGCGCCAGACTGCGCGGGGGGCGCGGTGGCGGCGATTCCGGCGATGCCCCCTTGGTAGGAGAGCACGGGCTGCGCGGAGCGCAGAGTGACGATGTAGACCGACGAAGACGGCACGCCTTCGCCCTCTGCGGGGCCAAGCCGGGGAAAGGGGGACGTGGGGAATGCGGGGAACAGGGGATCCGGGATAAGAGGGAAGGCAAACAGGCAAGCAGCGTTCCGTCAGCGCTCGAAGTGGAGAACCACCCGCCACGCACCGTCGCCTCGGGTCCGACACGCGGAGGAAGAGTACCCGTGGAATCACTAAGAAAACTGCGCGGACGGCTACGACAACTATTAGCCGACCGCCACCGCTGCTAGCGTCACGCGTAGGGTGGGACCCACGTTGCAGCGACGCACCTTGGGAGGAGCCGAGCATGCTAGTGACGGGCGGGAGAGCGGACGTTAGGAGTAGCGCAACAACCAGCGCCGCTATGCAGGGCACGCGGCGGTTCGTCGATACCGGATTGGGACATAGGGCGTCGAACGAGGGGGTCATCGCGTTGGCGCGATTTACGCGTGCGATCGAATTTCGCGGGATTTCGGAGGCGTCACGATGATCCGCGCAGAGTGGTAGGGCGAAATGACTAGGCGTTGTATCGTTGGCTCTCGTTCTATGATCCGGAGGGGCGCATTCAGCGGTTTACAAGTCTGAACAAGCGTTAAAAGGGGGTAGGCAGCTACAACTACTGCAAGTTCAAACTTGCCTCGAAGCGCAGCGTAACTACTAAGCAGATTAGTTTTGTGTAAACAAGCTAGTGTACACTGCAAGGGAAGCTAGCGCGCAGTTGGCACTCGCCGCCATGCCTATGTGGATGACTGATCTGATAAGGGTCCTAGATTCAGGATTCAGTCGCTTGGGTTGGGGCTCAGTTAGGCAGACAGGGGCGGTATGCGTCCCTTCACCGTTTGTTTTTTTCAGTGACCAAGGAATGCGAAGGGAAGGCAAGGATTGCCGGCCATCAGTAGACTCGCATGCACTCTCCCGACCGACCGACCCTCGTCCTCGTTCAACTCAGGCCCTGTGTTCGACGCTGCATCACTGCTAGCAACCTGTCGAAGCTGCGCTGCGACCGACGATTGGTGGTAATCATACAGTTACGGAACACGGCAGTTCCCTTGCATATGATAAGTTCTCATCTCGCATGGATGGCCATTCATTTCGAACAACCTCTGTCTCTGTCTCCCAACGACCCAGTTCTTTGGGTGCCAGTTGCTCCTCCTCGGGGCAAAATTCTGTTCAGTACACCCTCTTTCTCAACCTTCTCAGCGGCGCAAGCAATGGCCACAGTAGTCTTCCCAGGCTTGTGACCTTGCAACAACAGTGCGGGGTCTCCGAACCGAAAGACACTTCCCACAGATCCGTTTTTCTAAAATTTATGCAGTTTCGAGAAACCCCTTGGACTGTGCATGAAAATCACGCCCAGGCTGCTTTGCCCGAACGTTTTTGCTCATTTCCCGATGGTCTGACAAAACGACCAGCGGTTGGCTGTCGTACGGATGTCTGTTGGTGTCTCAGGTAGTTCTTGTCGTTACTGGTATCCCCCAGCACAGCTCAGGTGGTCACGGCAACGAGGCGTGGTGACGGAGTGTCGCTTGAATTTGCTTTGAAAATTGTAAGAGAGTCTACACCAAGCAGTGATATATTTATATGGACCAGGTTCCTCACTCTTTAAAGTGTAATGTGATATTCCCAACAAGTCCGGACGGAACGGAGCCCCCCCTTTTCTGCATCTTTGGTCAATTTAATCAACCCCACATGATAGTGTAGACAAAGCATTATCGTGATTGTTGGAATGACCAAAAGGTTATACTATCATTCCCGAATGTATCGCCATACTGCACTTCCTCATATCGATAGCGCGCAATACTCACCATCGCGCTAGCTCCTATAGAGCACGCCATCTTTGGAGAAGTCAAATTTCGGAAGTCAAATGTCCCGACTGTTTATTGACCTCGACCGGAGGTTATATGCTGCAACAAGGTAACTTCGGACATCGAAATAGTCACAGTTACAGTACCAATACCTGTATTACAATTGAATAAGGGGATGTACCTCTCTGAGTACATGGATAGCTACCGTAAGGCCCCGGATATGAAGGGGGGTGTTGAGATATGAAGTTAAATGAGAAGGCATTCCTGTACGTTGCAGGAGCCGACTTTACCGAGTACGAAGTTGAGGAGTCAGAAGAGTCGAAGCGACATCAGCAACCGTCAAATCAAGACCGATGTCTTAACTTACGAACCTAGTGACTTGACTTGAGTAGCCAGAGAAATTGTGTTGAATAAGGGGGAAAAAGGAGATCAAGTGTCGACCTATAAAGTTTTGTACCCTTTAGAGGGCAACTCACTGTAGCCTAGAATAACTAACAATATCTAGATGATATAAACATTTGACACACCCCCATAGGCTAAGTGAGGGGCATCAAGGAAACAAACAAGTGGCAGCAAATGGTCACAAGACCAGTCAAGAGCAAGCAACAAACCAGCGAAGCTCCTGTGCCGCCACGGCACCAGCGTAGATCTCTGCCTCTGCACTGGACGAAGCCACAGACGACGAACGTGTAGACCTCCACGACACAGCACCAGCATCCAGGCTGAAGCAGAAACCCTGAGTCGAACGCTGAGTCTCCACGTCGTCAGCGTAGGAAGAGTCGCAGTGACCGGTCAACTCAACTGGCTGAGTCCCTCCAAGCACAAGCCCCATGCCTGATGTAGTCGCCAGGTACTTCGCCACCCTCACAGCAGCTGTCCACTTAGCAGGACGGTGTCTCCCAGTCGCAACAAAGCGAGAGAGGACGCTGAGGGGAAAGGCGAGGTCTGGCCGAGTACACGTCATCAGGTACATGAGGCAGCCAACAAGCTCTGCGTAGGGACCACTGAACTCAAAGGGCTCGTCGGGAAAGGGGCCAGTAAGTCTGTGGTCAACGGCAAGAGGAGTGGGCTGTGTGGTGGAGAACTGGAAGTCGAACCGCCGAAGGACCTGCTGCACCATGTGTGACTGAGTCAGTGTGATGGTGCGAGCTGCTCTGTCCTTGGTGATCTGCAGGCCAAGGTAGCGCTGCAGTTCACCGAGGTCAGTGCAAGTGTGTCTCTTCTGCAGTTCGGGCTTCACCTCAGCCAGAGCTGCTCTGTCTGCTGTAGCAAAGACCAAGTCGTCGACGTAGACAAGTATAAAGAAAGGAGTGGAACCAGCACGAACAAACAGCGACGGGTCGGCAGAAGAAGGACGAAACTCAAGGTCACGAAGCGTGGAGCGAAGAGTGTCGTGCCACTCACGGGGCGACTGGCGGAGACCGTAGACTGGTCGCCTTAGGCTCCACTGGGTCCTAGGTGGGATGGTGTCAGTGAAGCCAGGAGGACGCCGCAGCTTGATCTCCTCGCGTAGGCGGCCCTGGAGAAACGCAGTGGAGAAGTCGAGGGAGTGCAGCTCGTAGTCTCGCTGTGCTGCTACGTGCAGTAACACCCGAAGAGTAGTCATCTTCGGGGTCGGGGCGAAGGTCTGGAAGAAGTCAACTCCCTCACGCTGACTGAAGCCCCTAGTCACGTAGCGCGCCTTGAACACAGGCGGTGATCCAGGCGGCCGCTTCACCTTGAAGAGCCACATGCCATCGACAACGTTCGCCCTGGGAGGGGGAACTGCGTCGACGTAGGTGCCTGTGGATATCCAAGACGCTAACTCTGACTCCATAGCCGCTTTCCACTGAGAGGCCCACTCCCCTGACACTGCCTCACGGTACGTGCGAGGAGTCGGTATGTCAAGGGCGTCGGGGTCTCCCTCAGGGGAAAACAGCATTGCACAAAGAGAGGGAGAAGCAGCTGCCAAGAACTCCAACTCAAACTGCTTGTCCTCTAGGACGTCACAGCCTAGGGCAAACTCACCCCCGACGGACAGAGGACGGGGAGGTGGAGCAGCCACCACACGCGTGGCATAGTGGCGGCGGGTGGCAGCAAAGTCACAAACAGCGGCAGTAAGAGCCGAGACAGACGACGGAGAGGCACGAGGGTCGGCGACAAGAGAGGCGAGGACACGTGAGACAACAGGGCGAGCAGCAAGGTAGTCAGAGATAGGGGTAGGAGCGACACAAAGAGAGGACAGAGGAGGAGACGGGAGAACGGACACAGGTGGAGAACGACGACGAGACGAACAAAGGATGGCAGTGCGGAGGTCGGTAATGGGGGACGAGGGACGAGCACGCGGAGGACAGGGACGGACACGGTAGTGTGGGACAACAGGAGGAGGAGACGTGGACCGAGGAGAAGACCAGACCGCAGGAGAGTCGTCAGGAGGAGGAAACGTAGGACCAAAGGCAGGGGGAGACTGAGAGCAGGCAGGAGAAGAGGAGGGAAGACCAAGGGCTCGCAGGCCACTCACTGGCGGGAACAACTGCTGCTCCAGAGGGAGCTGCTACTGCTGCTGCTGCTGCTGCTCCTGCTGTTCCAACAGGTCCAACTGCCGCAGCTCCAACTGCTCCTGCTCCTCACGCTCACGCCGGCGGGCCGCCTGGAGACGCGTGTCGTGGCGGTGGGGAGGCGGAGTGAGCACCGCAGACGTAGTGCCTCCAGCTCCAGGCTCCTCAAAACTAGCACCCCAAGTACCAGTGTCTCCAGAGGTAGCACCACCAGTATTAGTGCCTCCAGCTCTAGCATCCCCTGAACTATCACCTTCAGCGCCAGCACCTCCTGCTTCAGCACCCCCAAAACTAGCACCTCCAGTGCCAGCAGCTCCAGCTCCAACACCTCCAGCTCCAGCACCCCCAGAACTAGCACTTCCAATGCCAGCACCTCCAGTGCCAGCACCTCCAGCTCCAGCACCCCGCGAACGAGCACCCCTAGACCAAGCACCTCCAGTGGCAGCACCTCCAGCTCCAACACCCTCGGAGTCCACAGGAACCTGTCGCGGAAGTGCCGAAGGCTGCTGAGGGGACTGTGAGGAGGACTGCGGGGAGGGAGACGCTACCTGACGCGCGACCTGTCAAGCTATATTTGTTATAGCTTCTATCGTTAGTCTAGGTGTACTTTCTACTTGTTGGGGTTAGGGTTAGGTTTCCTATATACTTGTTGTACTTTCCACTTCTAGTCATTCATTCTCATATCCAAACATGGTATAGAGCTAGGTTTCCCTAGCTAGGGTTTCCCCTAGCGTTTTCACTCAATAGATTAAGGGCCCACCAAATTCGCTAGCCCGCGCCTCGTACTAACGCGCGCCCCGTCGTCATGCGCGCCTCGTAGACCGTCGCCCGTCGCCCGGAGCGCGCCCGTCATCAGTACCCACCCCATCGCCCGTAGATTTCTAGTCGCCCGTCGATTTTTCCCCTCCCGTCGCCCGTCGCCCGTCGATTTTTCCCCTCCCGTCGCCCGTCGCCCGTCGATTTTTACCCTCCCTTCGCCCGTCGCCCGTCGCCCGTCACCCGTCGACCGTAGGAACAGGCCCCGCGGCCCCTTTTTCGCTAGCGGGCCCCGCGGCCCTTTCGAT